CTAAGTTCCAAACAATACAGTTATTTTCTGGAGTTTATATTTCTATTTGACTCTCTTATCATTCTATCAAAGACCTTTTTGTGCTTTCTAGAGCATGCATCTGTCATGCATCTGTAAAATCATCATCTTCCAGTTGGCAAAGTGTATGGAAAATTATGTTTCTACTATACACTATAAGGTAACATACTCAATAAAAGTCTATAATGCAGTCCAAAGTTCTGCCTATGTTATTGTGCTTTATGATTTACGACCATGCTTTTATGTTCTGAAATACTAATTTCTTTAGATTCTATCAAACATGTAAGTTAATTTGACATTTCCCTGGGAAAGATAAACCAGATTGTTCATAATATTTATGCAATGGATGCATTGATTGTTTTCATGTATCAGTATAGTGAAAATGCAGAGTGGCATAAATATGTCTCAGGTTGAGCTCTGAGACTGTGCATGCCCTCCTTCTACCTTGAGATAGAAAACAGCACTGGAAGGTGACATCTCGTTGTAATTCAAATGACACATGACACTTAAGACTTTTTCAGGCTCTCGTAAGCATTAATCTCTCAGCTTTGCTTATTTCATTCATAGCCAACATTTTCTAAAAATAAGTCTATTTTCAACTTAGTCCTTTACCCTCTGATGTCTGCTCCAATTTCCAAGTCTTAAATATTTCAGAAGATAATCTAAACCCATTAAAATGTACTTCATTTTATTACTGATTCATATCAACTGTTAAGCCTTAGACAAGACAGTGAAACATCCATGGTAGACATCTTTTCAGCTGAGAGCTTCTGGGTCACTTCAGGATGAACCGGAGTTACACACAGTTGGGACACACAACTAATTTTTCTTTCAATAATTTCCTATGCAACTTCAGCTATTTAGCTTTGAGACACTGACATCTTCCACAGATGCTTTAAGTGACACTGCTTGGTAAGTTGCATTCATCATGTCCCTTCACTTTCATCTTATGAAAAAAACTTAGAGCATTTGTGCTCTTTTTTCACAATGACTAATTAATTTCCCTCTGCTCTACTCGAAGAAGAATGTGTTTTCATTTTTTTGAAAAGTGAGCAGAATTCTTTCTAAACTTAAATGGCTTTCTGTACCCTAAGTTAATGGTATGTTATGAAATACAGATTTTTCTGACATTTTCTTGTCTGACAACACAAGTAATGAAAAAGAAAAAGAGTTTACTCCAACTAAATAAAATCAGCTTTTATTTTATTCTGTCCTCACTCTCAGACTCTTACCTAGTTACTTTCAACAGGTGGCAATGTAAGAAAGAAACCCTCAGCTCAGAAATACCTTTCAAGTGATGTTTTAATTTTCTATTATCTTAAAATCAATCAATCAATCAACAAAATTTTTTAAAAGGTCTTTACTCCCCTCAGACCAGGATCATAATGCCATTTTACCTTTCAAGGAAAGAATCACTCTATCTCCTAAAGACCTCAGCTTAACCTTTACTCTTCCAGTAAAGAAATCAAAGGTACCAAATTCCAGATTGTTGTTTTTGTTCTTTCTAAACTAGTTTTGAGGGGCGCCTGGGTGGCTCAGTACGTTAAGCGTCCGCCTTCTGTCCAGGTCATGATCCCATGGTCCTGGGATCAAGCCCCCTATCAGGCTCCCTGCCTGGTGGGGAGCCTGCTTCTCCCTCTTCCTGTGCCCCTCCCCCCTTCTCATGTTCTCTCTCACTCGCTCAGCACTCTCTCTCTCTCTCATATAAACAAATTTTTTAAAAATTAAAATAAACTACTTTTGATTAAATGTGGGAACAGGGACATGTACTTTGGCAAAGACATTCCTTCAAGAAAAGCTTATCATGGCCTTTAAAAATGGTCTCATAGAAGAAAAGATACTTTCTAAGGCATTTTCTTCACTGCCCCAGCTATGTGTTCTTCCTATTTGCCACTGGCAATTTTTAAAATACGTAAAAGGTACCACCAGCTGGGCGTCCCACTATCCTTGGCTCACTGACATGGAAACTCTCTTCAGGATAAAAGATAGGCTGTTGCTATGATTATTATTTTACAGAATATAGACAGAGACCTAATCTCAAGGATGGCTATATGGTACAAACTAGAACTGCTACACACTTAAGCTGACCCTAATAATCAACTTTTTATTTAACAACTTGCCTTTCACCTGTGTTTTCAACTTCTCAAGTTCTGATGTCTTCTGAAAATAAAGAAAACTACCCTTAGCATTCTTACAAGGTATTTCTTGATTTACTTGCTCATATCCTAAGGGTTATTTTCTTTATTCTGTTCATGGAAGATTTAAACAATCATTTTCATCAAGAGCTAATTCAAGAGTTAAAGGATCGGTTTGGAGTCCTTTTTAACTCTGTGATAAAACATCAGCTTATAATTTAAATGTATTTTGATGCAGATTTTGCATTGGTGACCAATATGTTATATGTTATATGTAGAGATCAGAGCAAATAATATGTAAGAAAAAATAGGATATTGCCTTGCAGAATACTGGGTAAACTAATAAACCAAACATCACTCAGTGCTGGTTCTAATTAATACATTGGATCAGTTCTCCATGATTACCTTATTTTCTTATATATGGTGTGGTATCTGAAGTCAATTTGTTTATAATCTTTTCTTATACAGTCCCAAATTTACAATCCATCACCAATGTTCAGGGTAGATTAAAGTAATCTTTAGGATTAGGACATATATGACACAAATGTCTACTTAAATTTAAGATAACTCATTCAACATTCAGTGAATATTAATTACCCATCATGTGAAAAGTACTATCATATGACCATATATTTTTTTAATATTTTATTTGTTTGAGAGAAAGAGAGAGCACGAGCAAGGGGAAGGGATAGAGGGAGAAGCAGACTCCCCACTGAGCAGGGAGCCCAATGCAGAACTCGATCCCAGGACCCTGGGATCATGACCTGAGCCAAAGGCAGATGCTTAACCAACTGAGCCACCCAGGCACTCAGGACCATATATTTTTTAAAACACTTTTAACTATAATATAAACTCAATGAGATTATTCTAGTGTAAAATACTATCACAAAAATGCCACAAAACTATAACATAGTTATAGAACATTAAAAATTGTGTCTCATCCATGAAAACAAACAAACAAAATGTATTAGGCCATCTAATGAGCATATTCATTCAACTTCATGCTTTAGAACTCTGTGAATGTTCTGAAAAAGAAGAGGTAGAAGAAAAAAGACTGGACATGAACAAAATGATACAAAAGAAAAGAGAGGGGTGATGTGAAAGAACTAGGGGGAAAAAAAGAGAATTCCTCTTGAATTTTCACTTCTCCCAGTAACAGGCAGGTAATAGGTCATACCTGAGGATTAATTATGATGGCACTTCAGACTTCAGAAGCAAATGGAACAGAAAAAATGCTATTGGAGTGCCTGGGTGGCTCAGCTGGTTAAGCAACTGCCTTCGGCTCAGGTCATGATCCTGGAGTCCCGGGATCGAGTCCCACATCGGGCTCCCTGCTCAGCAGGGAGTCTGCTTCTCCCTCTGACCCTCCCCCCCCTCATGTGCTCTCTCTCTCTCTCTCATTCTCTCTCTTTCAAATAAATAAATAAATAAATCTTTAAAAAAATGCTATTGACAGAGTGTTAGTGATATTTGGTAAGAATAGATGATAAATAACCTTTTGTTGGAAAATGAATCTGGCCAATGTCAGGAGGAAGTTTCAACTGGATTTATCCAAAGCATCTGAAGCCAAAAGAATCTTGACTTGGATGTTTTTACTGTCTTCCTTTTGCCTGTCAGAATCCCCGCAATTATTGTTAACTGTTTCCCATTGCTAGAATGACTGCTATTTACCCCTGTGATTTTTTTTTAACTTCTATCTATAAATAAATTTTCTTCACAATAGAAATTCCTAAAGTGTCTCTCATATTTTTCCACTTGTGGAGGATTGTTTTCAGTTAAAGTTAGGTATAAAAAAAGAAAAAGAAAAAAGCTTGGATTTGTTTTATTTGCTAGCATTACCACTGCAATTTTCACTCAACCCAGTGAGCCATTTTTTCCCATTCCAATGACTCATTTGTTTGTATTTAATCAGTAATTACCAGTCTCTAAAATTATATCTACTGGTACCATAACAAGTAATTTGTATCCATCATAATTATAGGTCTAGTGATATATGGATCTAAAATCAAAAACAGATCCCATCACAATGTCAATACAGAGCCAACAATACAGAATCTCAAATATCTCATTTTTATTAGACCTATAAGTTCTTTAATATACTTCCATGAATTTTTAAAAATAATATTGTACAAATTATCACGTTAAATTTTCTACAGGAGAGTATTTTTTTTAAGTAGCCTCCATGCCCAGCATGGAGCCCAACACTGGTCTTGAACTCATAACCTGAGATCAACACCTGAGGTGAGATCAAGAATAGGACACCTAACCAACTGAGACACTCTGGCGCACCTACATGACAGTAGGTCTTAAACCTGGTTCTTTAAAAAAAAAAAAAAAAAAAGTTTTGGGCGCCTGGGTGGCTCAGTTGGTTAAGCGACTGCCTTCAGCTCCGGTCATGATCCTGGAGTCCCGGGATTGAATCCCGCATCGGGCTCCCTGCTCAGCGGGGAGTCTGCTTCTCCCTCTGACCCTCCCCCCTCTCATGCTCTCTTTCTCTCTCATTCTCTCTCTCAAATAAATAAATTAATTAAATCTTAAAAAAAATTTTATTTATTTACTTGAGAGAGAGAGAGATAGCTAGAGAGAGAAAAGAGCTGGGAGGAGAGGGAGAAGCAGGCTCCCCACTGAGCAGGGAGCCTGATGCGGGACTCGATCTCAGGACCCTGGGATCATGACCTGAGCTGAAGGCAGACACTTAACCGACTGAGCCACCCAGGTGCCCCATAAAATAGGTTCTTAATATTTCTTCTCAAAGGTATACTAAGAAAGTCAAGTTAAAGAATACCTAAAGCCTACACACAACTGAGAAATAGAAACACAAGTTGCCAAAATAGAAATTTGATTTATTTAATGAATTTGAAATAAATGTAAGTTTCTTCTCACCTTATTATTGTATAGTCCTACTCTCAGAACACTGTTTTCCATGGAATAATAGAATTGAAGATGGCAGCTCTTGCCCAGGCAGTGACACACAGAGCTATTTAAATAAGCCCTGCTGTCTACATAGTTAAGAGTAGAAGCATCCTTAGCTCCTACCCATATAAAATAACCTGAAAAATGAAGGAAAAGGAAGAAATTTAGAAAAAATTAGCTGCTTTCTGTTTGAACAAAATTATTGTATTTATGGACTTTTCAAAATCAGGCTTGAAACACTAGTATTTTAACTAAAGGGATAGGATGTTTTATTTATTTACTGATTTATTTATGATTATTAGAGATATGATGTTTTAAAATGATTATGTCAACTACAAATTAAAAGTTTTCATTTCCATATGTGATTTTAAAATACATTGATATCTGCTCCTAGTTCCTGAAATTAGGAAATTTCAACTCAATATTGTTTTTAAAAGATATCTCCTCATATAAAAAATCTCTGTGCTACAAAATTACCATCATTTTCTTTAAATGTCACAATGCAGTCTTTCTTTAACAAAGAATTCCTCACCTTTCTTCGCAGAATTCTTTCCCCTTTTATTTTTTCTACTTTTTAGTTATAGAAAAACCTTAATAGTTTAAGGGAATATAATTTAAACATTATAATTAAATTACATATAATTAACATATAACATAATCAAAATTTCTTACCCAACACATGGAAGTATCAGATACCACAGTCCTATTAAACTGCACGTATGGATATTGTAGCATATAAAAATATTATCAATCAACTTTATCCCATCTGATATTTAAAACCAATTTGCACTGTTCTTAAATTTAATAACATAGACAATGCAGAGATACAAAGATACTTCTATGATTTTACAACTTCACTTTTAAATTTGCACTGTTCTTAAACTTAATAATATAGACAATGCAGAGATACAAAGATACTTCTATGATTTTACAACTTCACTTTTAAATAATAAAGTTTTTCAATGAGTTATTTCTGTGTAAGTTAGTATATATTCCTGTAATTTCTAAAAACTATGAATTTAAATTAGGTAAAACTCTTATTTACTGAGAAATGTAAGACTATAAGCAAAATACCATTTTAAGTTAACACTTTGTATCTAACTAAACACAAAGAAATGATAAATAAGATAAAGACACATTTTTACAAAAGCGGAGACAGATCAATTTCAACATAAAATATCTCAAAAGATAAGGAAAGAACAATTCTACCAAGTAATGAGTAGGGCTGAAACCACGGAACTCTGGAACTTTGAGACCAGACCCAGGCTGTGGTAGCTTAGATTCTGACTAACTTGAATGTTGCAAACAAAAGCTGGAGGAACAAACTCTCTCACTGAAGTCAAAGATTAAAGTTGGGGAATCCTGCTCAAAAACTAAGGTGGAAAATATACCAACATTCACTACCTTGGGCTATGAGTAAGTGAGAGGATGTGCAAAATTCCAAGCATTATCACGAAGTATGAAACCCTAAACTAGTACTGTTACTAGGATTAGTCCTGGGGAAATAGACATGAAAAAACACCTGGACTGTTCAGCTATTAATAACATTAAAAAGAAACAAATTTACCACCACCTTACTAACTGGAGTTTGATCAGAACCTAACTGACCTGTGAAAAGAGAAATATCAACTCAAGCAGGCTTTAGCCTTCCACATGAGGGGAGGAAAATACACAGATCCAGCCCCCTCCAGCCTTCTCCCCTAATGTTGGGGGAGGAAGCACATCTAAAGGTCATGTAACAGAGGAACAATCTCACCAAAAGAATGAGATCTAATCATAGTACTCTAGAATGTTTCTCTTCCTCCTTACAACTTACCACAACTCACATAAAAGGGGGTCCTATATAATAATAGGGTAATACTATCCAAAGAACTGTAGGTCTCATACATAGTTTAAGGTCTAGAGAAACCCAAAACAACGGGTAAGACAAAAACAAGGATACCAGATGAAATTTTAGCCTCACACATCTACAGCTGTGACAAGCAGTAAAGAGTCTAATCTCTAGCTACATAAACATAATAGGTCATGCTAAACCTATTGACCTTAATTCCCTTTACATAGCACATCATGTTTGGCTTTCAACAAAACATTACAAAGCACACTGAAAGGCAAAAAACAAAAAACATAGTTTGAAGAGAAAGAGCAAGTATCAGAACCAGACCCAGATATGGCACGAATGTTGGAATTAAAAGACTAAGAATTTAAAACCACTATGAGGAGGGGGAGGAGCAAGATGATGGAGGAATAGGAGACCTAAATTTCGTGTGGTCCCAGGAATTCAGCTAGATAGGGATCAAACCATTCTGAACACCTACGAACTCAACAGATCTAAGAAAAAATACCAGCAACTCTCTGAACAGAAAAGCGACCACTTTCTGAAAGGTACGATGTGCGGAGAAGTGAATCCGAGGACATATTTGGGAGGATAGACGGCGGGGGAAGGGGACTCTGTCCGAAGCTTCTGGCAAGTGATAGAGCTGCGGAGCACAAAATCGGAACTTTTAGAAGTCGCTCAGCTGAGAGACGTTGCTCCAGTGGCTAAGTGGGGGGTGGAACACTCACTGGGACAGTGTGGTCTCAGGACCCTCAGGGTCACAGAAAGACCGGGGGTGCCTGAGTGCAGCAGAGCTCCCAGGTATCGGAGCAGGGAAGCCGGCTGCAGAAACGGAGCCGAGGAGTGGGCTGTCAGCTCGGTGTCGCCATAACCCATTATCCACGGCACAGTCAAGCCACTGCTCCTCCAGCAGGACCCAACAAGCAGCAGATCCGGGGAGACTCCCCTACCTCCCCTGAGAGGAGCGGCGCGGGAGTGCACCGCAGGGATCTGCTGGGTTTGGAGACTCCATACCAAGTCGGGTGCCAGAGATAGAAACGCTCTGTCACAGGCCGGATGAGCACGGAGTGCGGTGGAGACCAGGGAGATGGGAGTGATTGACTGCTTTTCTCTGGGGGTGCACTGAGGAGCAGGGCCCCGAGTTCTCAGCTTCTCCGGGGCGGAAATTGGGAGGCCGCCATTTTCACTCTCTTCCTCCAAAGCCATATGGAAACTTGCAGGGAACAAAAGCTTCCGAGAGCAAACCCAAGCAGATTACTTAGTCCGGACCAGGCAACGGCGGGGCAATTCCACCTCCAACAAAGACATCTGAGAACTAGAGCAACAGGCCCCTCCCCCAGAAGATCAGCAAGAACAACAAGTTTACCGATCAATGAGAATGGCAGAACTCCGGAGCTACGAGAATACTGCACATGGAATTCACGGCTTTTTTTCCCCTGATTCTTTAGTCTTTCAAAGTTAATTTTTTAAATTTTCTTCTCTTTTTTCTCATTGAGTTTTTCTTTTTCCCTTTTTCAACCAACATTTTATCAATCCCTTTTTTAAAAATATTTTTATTTTTCGTTTTTAGAGTCACGTTCTATCCCTTCATAATAGTTAACCTTATTTTTGGTATATATATATATATATATATATATATATAAGTTGTTCTCTCTTTAAAATTCGAGGATACAATTTCTTCTAACAGACCAAAATATACCCTAAATCTCTAGTGTATGGCTTTGTTCTAGTCTCCTGCCTGATCACATTCTCTCCCCCCCTTTTTTTTAATTCCTCTTCTTTCTTTCTCAACCAACTTCTTATCTAATTAATTTCCTTTATAAAATCTTTTATAATTCTCATCTTCGCAGTCATATTCTACTCCTTCAGCATATTTACCCTTATTTTGTAAATATAAGAGCTTTATTCTCTTTAAAATTTTGGGAGGTACTTTCTTCTAACAGACCAAAATATGCCCAAAATCTATGTGTGTGGCACTGATCTATGCACTAGCCTTATCATATTTGATCATATTCTTTTTATTTTTAATCTTTTTTCTTTTTCTTTTTCTTTTTTTTCTTTTTTCTTTCCTTCCCTTTCTTTTTCCCTGGTTTCAGGTCTCTTCTGATTTGTTTAGTGTATATATTTCTGGAGTTGTAGTTACCATGTTAGCATTTTGTTCTCTCATTCATCTATTGTCCTCTGGACAAAATGACAAGATGATATTCAAAAAAAGAATAAGAGGCAGTACCGACTACCAGACACCTAATCGATACGGACATTAGTAAGATGTCAGAACTAGAATTCAGAATAATGATCTTAAAGATACTAGCTGGACTTGAAAAAAGGATGGAAGATATTAGAGAAACACTTTCTAGAGAAAAAAACTAAAATCTAACCAAGTCAAAATCAAAAAGGCTATTAATGAGGTGCAATCAAAAACGGAGGCTCTAACTGCTAGGATAAATGAGGCAGAAGAGAGAATTAGTGAAAAAGAAGACCAAATGATGGAAAATAAAGAAGCTGAGAAAAAGAGAGATAAAAAACTACAAGATCATGAGGGCAGAATTCGAGAGATAAGTGATACCATAAGACAAAACAATATTAGAATAATTGGGATCCAAGAGGAAGAAAGAAAGAGAGGGCCAGAAGGCATATTGGAGCAAATTATAGCAGACAAATTCCCTAATTTGGGGAAGGAAACAGACATCAAGGGGCACAGAGAACCCCCCTAAAAATCAAAAATAGGTCAACACCCCAAAATCTAATAGTGAAACTTACGAGTCTCAACACAAAGAGAAAATCCTGAAAGCAGCTCAGGACAAGACGTCTGTAACCTACGATGGTAGAAATATTAGACTGGCAACAGACCTATCCACAGAGATCTGACAGGCCAGGAAAGACTGGAATGATATATTCAGAGCACTGAATGAGAAAAATATGCAGCCAAGAATACTATATCCAGCTAGGCTGTGATTGAAAATAGAAGGAGAGATAAAAAGCTTCCAGGACAAACAAAAACTAAAGGAATTTGCAAACACAAAACCACCCCTAAAAGAAATACTGAAAGGGGTCCTTTAAGCAAAGAGAGAGCCTAAAAGCAACATAGACTAGAAAGGAACACAGACAATATACAGTAACTGTCACCTTACAGGCAACAATGGCACTAAATTCACATCTTTCAGTAGTTACCCTGAATGTAAATGAGCTAAATGCCCCAATCAAAAGACACAGGCTATCATATTGGACAGAAAAAAAACAAGACCCATCAATACACTGTCTGCAAGAGACTCACTTTAGACTCAAAGACACCTCAGATTGAAA